AAACCTTTATTCTCCCTTTTTTTTTTTTTTTTTTTTTTTTAGCAAATATGACCTTGACATGTTGATCAGATTTAACTCAATCATACAACGACCATCTCTAAATCATGCTGTACTTTGAGAGGGTGGAAACCAGTTGGCGTGTGAGTGTTTACTGATCACAATGAGCCCTGTGGATCATAAGTCGTGATAACACAAGGAAACAAACGCAGCTTATTGATAAAAACAGAAGCTGAAGCGGTGAGCATGTGTTCAGCGAAGTCAATCATTGACAGAGAAGCCAGAGGTCGAGTAGAAGCGGCGGGCCGCACGGACGTCATCGGATGGGATGGGTGGGGCCTGTTTTTGCAGCTCGGTCAGATGATTCGTGTCAATTAAAGAGCCAATACCTGATGCCAGTAACCTTCATCTCATGTCCTTTAAGATCATGCATTTGAACTGTTAATGTTTGACCGGTTTCACAATGTCACCATTGACCCTCATCTGAAGGAACGCACATTTATCAGAAGTATACATTTGAGTTTGACGACCAGGTCAAAATGTGTGTCAAAAGTCACACTTCAGTCAAATATAGTTCCATCTTCAGCAATAGTTATAAATAAAACGGCTTTACTGTCATACAATCATGTCCTATTATATTTTACACTGAAATTAATTTAATTGGCTGTTCCCAAAAATGATAAGGACATGATAAGGAATAATAAAAGTGTGATTTTATCGAGTGCTGGTCTTCAGTTTTGAGTATTTAAGTAAGATATTCAACAAAATAATACTATTATTCTTCTGTGGAACACAAATAAGAATATTTCAATTGTTTTTGTTCATACAGTGAAAGAAAAACTGTTGTGATGCAAAGATAAATTACTATAATGTCCTATTATATTTTACACAATTGTATTGGCTATTTTAAGTGAAAGTAAAATTTTGGGGAGCTCAAAAAAGTATAAGTAAATTATTATGGAATAATACAAGTGTGATTCTGCTTTGGAAACATAATCAAGTACTAAGTTAGTGTATATATGTGTATTTTTGGGTGTTTAAATATATATAAACTGTTTTTATTCATACATTGAAAATCAATGGGGCCCATCATTTTTTTTCTTTAAATTATCTAAAATATAAATGTAAATCTTCACAGAAAAAAAGAAAGACTTACAGGTTTGGAACAAAAAACAAAAAAACTAAAAAAAAAAACTGCTGTGACAAAAATAAAGTCTATAATGTCTTGTTATATTTTACACTGAAATTAATTCCATCGGCTGTTTTAATAAAATTTGGTTCAAAAGTATTAAAAGGAAATAAGGAATAATAAAAGTGTTATTTTTGCCTCCAAAACATAAACAAGTATTAAAGGGGTCATATGATGCGATTTCAAGTTTTCCTTTCTCTTTGGAGTGTTACAAGCTGTTCGTGAATAGATAAGATCCCTGAAGTTGCAAAGACTAAAGTCTCAAAACCAAAGAGATGTTTTTTTGAACATTAAAGCATGTCAACATATTCTGTTACACCAAATACACAAAATAATGATCTTTAAAAAAGCATCATATGACCCCTTTAAGTTAGCCTTCGATTTTGAGTATTTAAGTAAGATATTTAAGAAAACAACACAAAATAACTCTTTTAATAATAATACAAATATTATTTTTTGCGGAACACAAATTAGATACTTTGAAGTGTGTTTACTTTCCACTGTTTTTGTTCATTGAATGAAAGTCAGTGGGGTCCAAAAGAAAATTGAGACTTTGTTTAAATGATCTTCACAGAAAAAAATTAAGTCATACAGGTTTGGAATTAAAAAAAAAAAAGAAGCTAATATAGGCCAAACACTGTTGCGATGTAAGGATGAAATGTCATATTATACTTTACACCAAAATAAATTTCATTGGCTGTTTTAAATGAACGTCAAATTTGGGGGAGCTCGAAAAAGTTAATTATTAAGGAATAATAAAAGTGTGATTTTGCCTCAGAAACATAATTGAGTACTGAAATAGTATTCAGTATCAAGAGCATTTGAGTAAAACATATATAAATATATAAATATATGCAAACACATGTCTGGGTTTCAAATAAAATAGAGAAGCAAAACTATAAATGAGTCAGTGTGCACGTCATACATCCACATATAATTGCACCTGTACGGCTCATGCTTTAAAAATAGATCCTCACTTCAGTTTTCTGCTGTTATGAACATATTCGAGCTGTTAGTGCAGCGTCTCATCCATCAAATAAAGAGATTACTCTCTTGTTGCACACTTTATTGAGGAACCAAACAGAAGTTTTTTATGCAGCTCACACTATTTTACACTTTATCTCGATGAGCGTGAAAAAACACACTGAAAGCAAGAGAATGAAACAGAACTTCAGAAAATAAAATGCTCATTTGGTCATGTGAATGAATTCTTCCAAACATCCCAACTGGACTTTATTTCCTTTCCCGTTTTCTCGTGAAAGCCCGTTTATAGCCATGCAGATACCAGCAGGACGTTATTCTGAGTGTGTGTTAATCGTTAAGAGATCTGGATATTGTAAAGTGACGCTGCTGAAGGAGGAAGAAGATGACGATGCAACAGCAGCATCTCCATCTCTTTACCTCACAGCAAAAACATGCTGAAAATTACTCCACTCGACAGACATTCATCTTTATGAGTGCTTGGGTGCCGGGGGTTATCGAAAACTGAAACCATTTGAAAAAATGTAATTAAATAAAATTTAAAAAATCAACTAGTTGCCTGAAGGAAAAAAATTCTCATTTTCATGATTTGAAGTTAAAGTAATAACTAAAGCTGAAAAAAATTTTTTTTATTAAAACTATATAGAAATAATTAAAAAAATTGAAAATTAAAAAACTAAAATACTAAAACTTTAACTAAAATTAAAACAAATATGGGTTTTTAATGTAAAAATAAAAACTAAAAAATAAGACATATCCGTCTCAGAGACATTTTTACAATACTAAATATATTAATTTATATCTGTTCACTCATTATTATAAAGCGCAAAAAATCTATATTTAGAAATAACTAGTCACATGAAATTATATTTATATTTATAATTTTTTATACATTTAAAAAAAAATTCCCTATACATTAAAATGTGCCTTTTCAATTCAATTTTTTTCTGAGCAAAAATAATGACTATCATATATTTTTACTATGAGTTACAGAAGAAACCCACTATAATGTTATTCAGTGTGACAATATGTATACCAAAAATCTGGTCAGGCTTATTTAAAACCAGAATTTGTCATCAAGAAGTTTTTAATATTTAAAATATAATCAAATTTCATATGAGCACTCTTTTTTATGTTTTATAAGTGCAGGTCAGAATAAGTATGTTCATTCATTTTTACATAAATATATCCGTTACACTCAAAGACGATGGAACAATATTTCACCCATATTTTGACATTTTATTTTCACAAAAGTTAATTAAAACATTAAAGTACTTTATGATGCGGACACCAAAATATGTGTGTGTG